CAAGAAATTCAAAAGACAAATCTCAGCTGAAAACCTGAGAAAGTGGTACACAAAATTCAATCCTCATCTCAGACAGCAAACACTCAGGTAATTTAAATACATATAATTTAAAAACTATTCAGTATTCACATTCCACTTCTTCTACAGCCTTAAAAGAGAGGAAAGCAAGGACTACTACAATTTGTTGCTAGAATATGACAGGATTAGAATGAAAACATCACAAGAGGCTGTAAGAAACAGACCCACAGGTTACTTCCATTTAGTCAAAAGGATTCATTCTTAGTTATACTATTTATGAGCAAAACACATGACGGTTACATTTTCAAGGTTACCACATTACCAGTATGAGAGAACTTTCTTTATAAAGATATCATTATACGCTAATCCATTCACTAAAATTTTTGGAGACAACAGCTTTCAAATTAAATGCCTAACACTGAAAATTTAGTGAAATAAATTACGAAATGAAGTTTACTTACATTAAATTCATAACATAAGGGATTTGTTTAGCAATGCTACTTAAATGCTTAAAGAATGGAGAATTGGTTGCTGACAAGCTAACGCTTTTTGATCATAGAATTAATCTTATTTTAAACTGTCTGATACAGCCCATACACGTAATTTGAGCGTTTAATTTTCCTAATATGAAGCTAAATTTGCCCAAATTTAAATGCAGATATACATATATCATCATAGATATCCTTGTGGTTGTCACAAAAACCTCAGCCTCTGAAATAATGGTTTGAACAGCAAAAAAACCTCAACAAAACCAGCACATTTTTACATCAATAAACACATTAGCTTTATAGCACCTTGCAGGCATAACAACAACATTAATCTCTCTCAAAACAAGATGTTTCACAGCTAAACATTTTCCACACTTTTTTTTTTTAATCTGGTGCATGGTGCAATAGAGGAAACATCAACTTAACATGGTTACTTTGGGTCAATAAAATGACTGAATACAAAATATTAATTAAGCGTCTTAGAGCTAGAACAGGGATCCAAAACTCAAGGGAACATAGCAAAGAACTTTATTCATAGTGTCTGTAAACTACTATGAAATACCAGTCAACCTACTTTCCCTTTTAGCACTGAATTAATAGGGAAAAATTAAAGAGTCAAAATTATGCATAAAACCGTAATGTTGAAAAGAGGTAACATGACAGGCTTCATCTAAGAACTGTCCTTTTAAGCTACACTAAAAATGGAGTAAAGGTTTTATTAAAAGCAAAAATCATTCAAGTAATCATAAAATATACTTACCAATATTTTTTTTATTAGAGGCATATTAACTGTACATAAAAAAAACCACAAACAACAAGATGCAACTAGAAGAACATTAATGAAAACAAAGAGAACAATCAGGTATAAAATTTGCCCTACGCAGGAGTTTCTAGACAGCCTACAGCCTGTCTTTGGTGGAATACTAGTGTATCCTACAGTATAAAAAAACCCCACCCAACCAACCAACCAAAAAACCCCCCTACTTTCTACATGCCAGCACATAAAAATGCTTAACGTCTGCAGAAAAGCTTTGAGATCTTTCAGTTAAGGTTTTGCAGAATACTAAGTGTTACTCAAGATTCTTTACCCTGACCTTCAATTTCTAATGCCTTTTGGCAGTAAAGCACCACAGAATGTGACTTAACACTTACTGCCCATGGTTCTTCTCTCCCACATTTCCAGGAAAACAAAAGCGGACATGGTTTTGTTATAAAAATTTTCTTGTTTAAAATACATCACCCAGCACTCAGAACTCAGTATGTGCGATGATTTGATCTGATATTTTTTTTTCCTCTTAGGTTTACTCATCCATTCTGTTAAAGAAAAGTGCCAAAGTTTCTTTCCCAAACCGCACAAGGCAAAGTGAGACATTGGCTGCACCTGAAGAAGCACCAAGTGACTGAACACTCACTGACCATAAGTTAATACGGACAACAGTTTTCCATTAAACGCAAATAATGAAGATAACATACGCATGGCATGTGATTTCCTTAAAAACAAATGTTATATAAAGAAATCTGCAACGATTATTCAAGCAAATACAGTAAATCTCTAGAGATGAGGGAAAATGGTGATTCTAGTATGGATACAAGAAGTAACTTCAAGTTACTGTTTTTTGGTAAGGCAACAAAAACTTGAGGTAAAACGTCTTCCCAAGTACAAAAGAGAGGGGGCACAGAATAAGAACTACTGATGGCTGGATGGTAAAAAAAAATAAATTTAAATTACTTAGAAAGAAATAAAAATCTGAATTATGTGCAATTATGTTCACGTAACTCAAAATACTGTGTAACTTGACCCTCTGGAGTGAATTCCGCCAAAAGTAGCAATTTAACTTCTAAGAAACCTCTCAAATAACATGATAGAGATTTATCTTTCATAATTATACAGTCTCCTACAGTGTTTAGTCAGCAAATGAATTATTTCATATAGGAAAAATTGTAACAAATTTTAGTTTTTCTCCTTCACAAAAATACCATGCCACTGTTTTCATGATACACCTTATTTGTCTGAAGCTATCTAATAGCTTTTTTTTTTCTAGAAAAATCTAGTTCTCTCTCACCTTTTCCTTTGGAAAGGCTACTAGGTATTTGAGTGTTTTATACCTAACATTACTTTTTGTATAAACATTCTCTACATGGTTTGAAACAAACAATGCTTTCACATCATGTGAGAATATATATAAAAACATCTGCCAAAAATGCAGATGTTTCAATCTTAGTTCTATTTTCCAATTTTCAACATTTTGTGGCCAAATTCTTCCAGATTCTTATTATTAAAATAGTAAATGTTTTATAAATTTGATTGCATAATAAAAGACAAACGTGAGGAATTTACAAGCAAGTATCATACAACTGGTTCCAGTTGAACTTAATCTTTTCCAACACCACATATCAGAGCGCTATTCAAAATATATAATTTTCATGGAAGATCATTAATCAGATAAAAACCACTATGGAGATCGCTCTAGGTTTAAACACAGATGCATTCAGTAACTTCTTCAGTAACATACACATCAGTTCCATAGATGATTAAGTCCTTTAAACTGTCCTCATCGTGGTGCTGTATTTTATAATCTTCCACTTGTACACGTGTGAAGACATCAGACTGGTTAGTCATACCTCGAGTTTACGATTTCACTAAAATCTGTAAAGAACAAAAGAATACTGCAACTTATTGCTCTCAGCTTTTTCATGTGTCTTGTTATTTGAAGTTCTTAAAGAGGCAGATCTTGAAAAGCTGTGATTATGTAAACTGTTCCATTTTTCTTTTTAAAAGTCTTCTAAACCTGCATGAATGAAAATTAAGATGCAATTCAAAATTTAAGTCATATAACTCTTTAGAGTTTTAAGTAATTTGAGATGTTGAGATTGATGTGGTTTATTTAGAGGCTCCAACAATAAACTGGATGGTCTCTGAGTTTTAATACTGTTGCTGATTAGACTCATTTAGCAGCTGAGCCCAGTTAACCTAGAATGAGAGAGCAGACTTCAGATGCACACTGATGGCCCAGAAAAATATATCTATGTAATCAGGACAAGTTAGCACGTCTTACCACAATACACACCTACAAAAATACATTTATGTACAGGCACTTGCTCATTTAATCCTAAAACACAGAAAACTCAAAAAAACAACCCAACCAAACAAAACCTGCCACGTCTCATTCATAATCTTAAAAGAAAATAGTTTTTGGGAACTGTCACTAAATCTTTAAAAAAAAAAAATGTAGGAAGACTATGCCCAAAGTTTCAAGCTGAGCATAAAATTATGCACAAAGACAAAATTTTGTTGCAAATATTTACTCAAAAAGTAATAATTTACAGCAGTGCTTTAACAGCTGTTCAAAACATTTAACATTCATGAGCAACAAAACTGCAGGTCAAAAGCACATTCTGAATGTTTCAAACGGAGCAATGAAGTCATAAGAGAAAGCTACCATTAATCATATGCATTCCTACATCTACCTAACTAAAAGACAAAAAAAAAATACCCAAACCAAAAAACCAAACCAAAACCAGCAGCTGTCTCTCTGTACACAGTTTTGGCTACAAAATGTCCTGAAATTGAACTGTACAATCCTACTTTATATGCCCTTGTGTCCTTTTTGTAACAGTTAGCCAGCAGCAGCTGCAAAATCGCAGAATACATGCCAGTTGGTGTTTCCAGTTTGGGGTTTTCCTTCTTTTTGCTTAAAACAGTTTTTACATTAAACCGTACTTTGGTGTGACTTACAGACCATTCCTACGGGTCTACAGCTAAGAATAATTAAAACAATGGTAAAAGCCTAACAGCTACAGTACTTTCAGCAGTATGTTCTACTTTATACAATTATGTTCTGCATTTCTGCACAGCCTGCACACTGAAAACCCCACAAATATATATTTTTATTGTAATAATTCCACTTTCACTGAAAGTTTATTAAGGTAAGCTTACAGCCTGGCAGGATTACACCTGTACAGAGGTGCATAGATTCATATAATTCTGTTTACATGCTTTTACAGACAGGAATGTGACACCAAGTCCAAAGATTTATGTTTACCCATATTATCAGTAGACCAATAACCATCATCACAAGTGTGCTCCATTTCAGCATCAGAAGTGAACTCATACTGAATCCCACTGTTTAATGATATTCACAATGAAGGATTTAAAAAAATATTTTCTTGGCAAATAAATCACCTTATCCCAGTCTAGTTAACTATAAAAATTAGAATTTATTTCTCCTTTAAATGTCATTCTAATAAGATATATCACATCCAAGAGACAATAAGATATATTTGAACGTGTTACCTTTTGTAAGTTTAGTTAATTCAGTTGTACATACACATACATGCTATCTTCATATGCAAAACTTCCCTTTAGTGTCTCTCTCCTCCCTCTTCCCTCCCCCCTTTTTTATTTTTAATACTAGCATCAGTGAGCACACTCATCAGAAATGGTCCATGGTGTTCTTACCATTGTTTATAACAAATAATAAAATCAACATAATTTCAGCTTGCTTCATTTTCATCTGTCTTGTTTACAGTTGTTTCCATTCTGTTGGGACTGCTTTCTTTAGAAGTCTCATCTGTTTGTTCAGAGACTTGTCCAGCTTTCTTTGATGAAGGTGCAACACTACCTTTTTGAAGAATTTCAGTAGCTTCATGCTCTAGTACCTCTGATGGAGTCAAAGGCTCCAAATGAATACTGCCTTGTTCACTAATGTCTGAACTAACAGATTCAGGTTCATCTCTTTTTCTCAAGAACTGCTCAAAACTAACATCATCACCCAACGTTAGTTTTAAGTCCCTTGCGTTCATTGCTGAAAGTGTAGTTTCATCCAAGCTATGTATTTTAGTCTGCTCATTCAAGATAATGTTATCTGAACTTTGGCAAGTTTTCAACTCACTTTCGTTATGAATACCTTTTTTTTTCTCATCTACTAATTGTTTGTTATTATCTAAATCACGACATGCTCCTTTCTCATCCAAAGAATTTTTTGAGCTGTTGTCAGGAAGTTCCAAACTAGGGACATTTTCTGTATTTGACAAGGACGAGTTTTCTTCATTCTTTTCAACTGATGCAACATTTTTAGTTTGATTTCTACTGCATTCTTTTGTTTCATCTGCAGAGTCATGGTCTTGTTTGCTGAAAAAAAAACAAAACAAGTTGTTTTTATAACAAATGAAATAAAGCAGCACATGGCTGTACTCTGCAAAGTGACCCTCAGAAAGTGGTACTGCATATTACCTATTGGGCATTTCTCACAAACTTTCACAGCAAGATGGGCTGAATTTAATTAACAGGTGCATTTTTCTTACCTATTTACAAACTTAGCTTTATACTTAGCAGTCAGTTAGTTCTTGAATTTCATCTCCAGAAAGGAAGGTTAGGTTGTCCCCTTTACGTGATGTATGAAATGTATATTAAGTTCCTCTACAAGCACAGCCTCTTCAACACAGATACAAATATGACTACTTGAAAACTTTTGTTGATGTGCAAGAAAAGCAGCCAGTTCTACTTTTATACCATCAAATTGACTCTGCAATACTAATGCAGGTAAAGCGAGAAAAAAGCTAACAGTTGGAAATCAATTAACTTAAATGTAAAATTTAGTTAAGCAACTACAAATTTGGATTCACTGAAAAACTGAACCTGTGAAGCAGCATTTTCAGTCACTTTTCAGAGTAAACCTGTATGTTTATATAAAAGAAACCTACATCAGTACTGAACTATGCAAGTAAAAATGAGAATCTTACTGTACAATAAAATCTAAACCACAACGTATGAACTTTGTAGACAAACTGATTGTTTAAACCTTGTATTACTTCAATAAAGCCACATGCATGCAATGCTTTAGGGTGACTGGGGAAAAAAAAGTAAATCAGAAAGCTCCAAAGACTGAACTGTGTATTTCAAATGCAATCTATACCCACAAAAATACAATAGTCTGGTCATATTGCTATATGCAATTTGCTCATATGTTCATATTCCAACAGTCAAAATCCTAAATACTAGTTTCCTAATATTTCTTTTCATTTGTTATAAGAATACCAGCTTCTCCCATCCTTTCAATGATGGAGTTCAATTTTTTGCTGTAAGGATTTAAATTTGGTAAAAGTTTAATATAATTTCTAAGCCATTCAAAAATTTTCAGAATGAGAAGTAGCTCAAATTATCTAAAAATTATGATGGTGACAAACAAAAAGGAGAGGGGAAGATGGAAGAACAGTTGGTCTGATTTCAGACATAAATTCTATATAGGAAATGAAGTTAGGAGCAAATTAACTTCTAGAATTCAAAACATAAATTGAAAATAGTCTCTGAACAGTGACATGCAGACAAAAGATGTGAGAGCTATAATAGCACCAAATATTAATCAAAATGCGTTTGTACTTTATTTCTTCAAATAGTTTAAAAAATGGTTTGAAATAATTTTTGGCTAAAACCACTTTTAACATTACCTAAGCAGACAGTTCCAGGACTTAAGAGGAATAACTGATTTCTTCTACTATGTTTTTATGATACATTTTCAAGCTGGACATCTAGACATGTTGTTCTACTGATTCAGGAATTTAAAACGCTTCATGTGATTCACCTACATGCTAAATGATATTGAGTTCTACAGAAAACAGTTGTTCTGGAAGAGGTGCTACATACTACAAACATTCAGAAATGTTTTCAAGTTTTACTTTCACTTAAATAAACTAGTTCAAGAACATTCAATTTCCTACTTTGAATTTAAGTCAGAGGAATATTTTGAGTAGGGATAAGAGACTGCTGAGATATCCTTGAATGGTGAAATCTTACTGGTCGCCGAGGTAGTCATAAGAATATTTTCACCTTGTTACACCAATTTTTCATTTGTAATAAGGAATTAAGAGACAAGCCAACTTCTTTACCAAATTACAACCTATATTTGCTACTCGTGTCATTTTTTTTTTTCATTTATTAGACTATCCAAACCAGTAAATAACATTCTCAAGTATACAAACAGATTTTCTATCCAAGTTGTTCTCCTCTCTCTCAAACTTCTAGAACAAAAAGGGGAAAAAGAATAATATTTGAGGGCAAGCTCAAGACTAAGTTCCTGCACAAAAGCCAATGCTCAGAGCTACCTGTCAGCTGTGGTTGACATAGCCAGTCTTGCTATAACTGTTCCTAATGATCTCATCTATTACAGAGAAACACGTAAGCTATACAGAGCTGTATAAATGCTAGTAAATATTTAGAATTGTTTTCCTATGAAAATCCAGTCAACTCTATGAAACACTGTATACACATGACCTTTAGCTACTACTTTTCAACAAGCAGCTTGAGGCTGTGGTATAGTTGCAGTTAATAAGCACAGTATTACGCTTTATGTGGGAAGTTTTGAACACAGATATGCAATTAAAAAGGTTTTAAATAAAGGGATGATTAATGCCTCATTAGCACACACAGAGCAGTGTTTCTACACTGGAAATCCCAGCTGGATTACACATATGTACACACACAGAAACAAGAGTCACACTTCAAAGGACAAATCTCCCCTTGACGTGTAAAAAGAATCCATCGTAATCTCCCGCACTTTCTAGTAACCAAAATCCCAGCTTCATCCAAACCCAGCCTCTCATTCTCACTCATTTTTGGCAAAACACAGAAAGGGAGGTAGAGGAAGTAGGGAGGAAGAAAATAATAATGAAAAAAATTACTAATTTCTCATGCAAAAAAGTTGTCTCTCATCAGCATACCTTCCTGTGAGTCATTTATACTAACAAAACAGAGTATAAAAATAAAATTGAACTAGTTTTGTAGAATAATCACCATGACAAAAACTATTATCCACAAAGAACAGCAACCTTTTAGATCGCTAAGCACAATAGTAAGTTCATTTAGATGGAACAGTTCTCCAATTAAATTGTTTACCTCTGCTGAGAACTGTAGATGAATAAGCAAAACCTAGGTATTGTGATGCACAAAAATTTCACAATAAAAAGAAAAATCATAAGATTTAAAGAAATCCTTCTATTAGTAAGTCAGCAACTGAAAAAGAATAGCCTTCCATCTAATATGAGGAATGAAACCTACTCTTACTACTCTATGTGCAAATAATACAGTGCAAGAAAACTAAAAAAATCAGATATCAAAAAGACCAGAAAATGCGAGAATGATAACTATTATGCAGAAAGGACAATTTCAATCAACAGTTAGAATGTAAAATCTGAGTTTTGTTTAATGAAAACAATGAACCCATATATTAAAGCATGATACAAACCATGGCCAGACTATCAAATATGGGCTATACTAATGAACTAGCTGCCATATTGTCTATATGAAGTCAGGTTTTAGAATAAGACTACTTCAAGGGAGTAGTATAAGAAATAATTTTGAATCCAAGAAACGAGTCTACCAGGTGCAAACATACACTCACCCCAAGCTACAGAAGTTTAGAAACTAAAGGGATTTTTTCTCTTTTTCTCATTGTATAGAAAATGTTAAGATTTGGGTGCCAAGTGAGGCTGAGGGAAGTTAAGCTGATTATTTGTTGTTTCAAAATCCTACTAGCTCAAGATTTTTTTTGCTGTTCTTTGTTGAGGAAAAAGAACTGGAAGCTCTGTCCATAAGTGCTACAATGCCTAACAGAGCTGAGTATTCAATAACGGATGTTCCACACATCTCAGAACATGTGCGCAGTATGGGCATTCTGTCCAGGGAATACGAGTCTGGTCTAAAATAACACCTCCAAACCACAGTGCAGTGAAGATGGAGGATTCTCAGAATCAACTGCTTTCATCTGCTGATCTGCTCCTGCATCACTAATTACTTGCCAATATCAACATAACTACCCTGGCTTAATAACAGAGAAAAGTCTTTGAGGACTGAGAATCAATAGTGCTAGAGCTACAATACTCCAGATGTCTGTCTTAAAGCCCATAAAGTAATATCAAACAAAATTTTAACAGAAAACACAGAACACATTTAGATACTAAATTTTTTTTTGTCTACTTAAACACAAGCATAGGAGAAAGTAGCGCATCATATTCAATTAGAATTACAGTGACTGTTTACTAATCCGTAGCTCAAAGACAGTTAGCTTCTAATACCCGAACCACTCAGTCACAATTCTTAAGGAAGCATTTCAAGTGAAAGTAAAATTTCAAATTATTTGGCCCCCAGTGCATACGACTAGAATAAAAGAGAGATAAAGCAGAACGTTTTCTAAGAAAAGTAACCTACAAGGAGATTCCGAAAGCAGTTTGCCCTTTTTTTTTTTTAAAAGCACTATAAACGCATGTATAACAAATAACTGTAATAATGTTTTGACTAAGCTTTTAAAGGTTAAGTTTGCACCAACAATTGTGAAAGATCACTAACTTGAACAGGATATTTCAGGCTGTGGGATCTGGAGTAATAATTTAGATTAATTATATGAAGAATAAGTCTGCCCACAATATGTGCCAAAAGAAATGTATAAGATTTCAATTATTGCCTCAGACTGCCATAAAATCCCACAATTTTGCATATTTTTTTAAAGTGTAGAGTTATAATTGTTAGTTATCTAAAAATTTCTCATATTTGCTCTGCTAAGAATTTGAGTACACTTTCCATAAATGACAGAGGTTTTTAAAAACCTAAAGGAATATACAAGAATTAAAAGTTTATACTCTATTTTAAAATTGTTTCTCAATTGTCCCAGTAATACTGTTAACTCATATGCAACGTTTTGTTTGGTTTTTTTTAAAAAAAGCTCCTTTTAACAAACCATACAATTTGTTTCATGTCTTATGAATCTTGGCCAATTCACAGTTTAAGCATCTCTAAGAACGTTTACTGCCATCTGTCATTACTGCCATTCAGAGAGACCTTGACAGGCTGGAGAGGTGGGCCCGTGTGAACTTCATGAAGTTCAACAAGGCCAAGTGCAAGGTCCTGCACATGGGTCGGGGCAATCCCAAGCACAAGTACAGTTTGGGTGGATAATGGATCGAGAGCAGCCCTGAGGAGGAGGACTTCAGGGCATTGGTTAATGAGAAGCTCAATATGACCCAGCAATATGGACTGGCAGCCTAGAAAGCCAACCGTATCCTGGGCTGCATCCAAAGAAGCATAGCCAGCAGGTCGAGGGAGGTCATTCTCTGCCTCTACTGTGGTCTCATGAGACCCCACCTGCAGTACTGCGTTCAGCTCTCAGGTCTCCAACATAAGAAGGACATGGACCTGTTGGAGATGGTCCAGAGGAGGGCCACAAAGATGATCCGAGGGCTGGAGCACTTCTCCAATGAAGACAGGCTGAGAGAGTTGGGGTTGTTCAGCCTGGAGAAGAGAAGGCTCCAGGGAGACCTTCCAGCAGCCTTCCAGTACCTAAAGGGGGCCTACAGGAAAGCTGGAGAGGGACTTTTTTGCAAGGGCATGTAGTGATAGGACAAGGGGCAATGGATTTAAACTGAAAGAGGGCAGATTTAGATTAGATCCAAGGAAGAAATTCTTCACTCTGAGGGTGGTGAGGCACAGGAACAGGTTGCCCAGAGAGGTTGTGGATGTTCCATCCCTGGAAGTGTTCAAGGCCAAAGTTGGATGGGGCTTTGAGCAACCTGATCTAGGGGAAGGTGTCCCTACCCATGGCAGGGGGGTTGGAACTAGATGATCTTTAAGGTCCCTTCCAACCCTAACCATTCTATGATTCTATGAATGCGTTTTGACATTCAGAAGCTGAATTCTACATGTCTTGTTGAGTAAGTTCATTACAACTGCCATTAAAAATTTTTTAACATAGACAATACACATTATGAAAATTCTAATTAAACACTTTTCCCAATTACCTGAGAAATAACACAACGTGTTATTTTATGTACCTGATTTCAAGATGCAGCTGATCATTGTATTTACCTTTCAAAAGCTGGTGTTTCTGTTTTTCCTTCAGATAAACTAGGTCTTGAATTATTCTGTAATAATTAATGATATTTATTTTACATTCACGAGCAACTGACTACAATATAAAGTTGCAGAAATAATTTCACGCTGACATTCCCATAAATCTGTTATGTAGCAGAGATTGAGCATGGATCTGAGTACATCTGAGATGTTTGCAAATAATCTTTCAAGCTAAAAAAAATGAACAAAAAAACCAACCACAAACAAAGCAAAACTTAAAAGCAACTCTTGTAGCCTTTTTCATATACATAATTTCAATTATGCCTTATTGAACAGGATGCAAACTAAATCTGGACAGCTTTTTATCTGGAGGGGGAAAAACCCTCTGAACTAAACTTGTGTTTTGCTAGTAAAAAAAAGCAAAAAAGCAAACGAAAAGCAAAGTAAAACAAAGTTGATGTGAGTATATTTTCTTAAGCACTACCCAGTGTTTTAGTCCTACAGCTGCTATTACGTTAAGTATAAGGGAGTTTCTTAACAAAATGCTTGTCGCAGAATAAACTTGAGTCTCTATCAAAACTTACCCAATGAAATAACTTTTTAACCCTAAACAACATGAACAAAGGCAATTTTTTACCCTCAATTTTAGAACAGTGGAAAAGCAAGTGACTGAAAACTATAATTTGGAAACAGCTACATCAGTCTTCTAAAAGCATCTCGTATGCTGCAGGGCACCCTTGCCCATATAACCTTATTCTCATTTAGGAAATTTTAAGTGTCTAAGTGACAAAATTAAGAAATAAAACTTTTTTTTCTATCTGAATACAACTAAGTTAATTTTGGTTTTAAAATAGAAAAGGTCACTGTACATAAACACAAACATTTTAAATTATTATTTGTATCACAACCTCTTAAATACTTAAAACTGTTTAAACTATGTTACATACTTCTAGCATAGTATTTTTTCTCTCCAACAGAGGTGGTATATTTTGTTTCAATGAGGCCAAGTTAAACAGCAAATATTTTAAAGTTGTATGGTAAAGTTAAGCTTATTTTATCTTCTAAAATACCCTTTGCTATACTTCTTCATACTTCATTACATTTCTGTCACACGAAACCCATGCACATATGACTCATGCTAAGAAACACTTTCCGACTGCTCTCTACTTCCTACTACAGAACCTCCTTCCCTATCCACCATCTTCTTCTGCCATAGCTGACCATATTCCCCCCAGGAACTATCAGGAAATAAAGAGTTCATGTAATTTCTCTGAGTTTTAAATGCTATGTTTTTAAACAGCCTGATTCATCAATTTATGGTTTTGGTTCTTCAGCACCCTAGAGGCCTGTCCTGCGACCTCCTGCTGTATATTTCAACAAACAGCCAAAACATCAAGCATCTGACTGCAGCAAAACAACAGACCTGGCACCTTGGAAAAACAACCAGAGGTTCCACGCAGCCCAGACCACACTGAATGGCAGCTCACTGTTTCGAAAGATCTTGGTTCACATGTCCTGTTAGCTGAGACAGCTAACACCAAGGTAGCCTATTCTGTCTGCATTCTCCATCTTTTCCAACTATAAGTGAGGCACAGTGTGGGGTTTTTTTTTGTTTGTTTGTTTTGCTTGGGTTTGGGGAGGATGTTGCATTTTTTGTTTTATTTTTACAAGCCAGTATTATGGAACACAATTTTGTGGAGGAAAAAAAAACCTACAAATCCCACATCTCCTGTAATGCTAAAACACAATATGGAATGAAAAAAAAAAAGAAAAAAAAAAGAAAAAGAAAACACACCTGGAGTGGTAATGGAGTCTACGTAAAGAAAAAGCGTTACCGTGTATGTTTGAGAATCTTGCTTAACACTGTGGAATGAAGATAAACAGTCTTCTTGCGTTTCTATAAAATCATTGCTTCTGTTGCAAAAACTCACCAGCCTCTTTGCATTCTGGAAAGCAGGCAAGCAGTGTTACAAGTAAAACCTTTACTAGGTCTGAGGACTTCTCCCACTCTCTTACTGGCTGGGATTTCTGTAACAGATTGGCCTCTTTGAAAGGCAACAGAAAGACAACTTCTTACACATGAAAATTCTGTAAGATCAGAATCCAAAGATGATAGTTTTGAAAAAAGTTAAGACGATATACTGTGAGATCACTTAGCATCTCCATAGGCAGAAAGCAAGCCAAAATTTGTACAAACACCTAGAGAAAAAAATTCAGGCCTGAAGAGGCATTTCCAAAGATCTTCCTCTTTAAAGAAGTATAAAAACCCCCAAAACCTCAAAAAGTTACACTTCAGAGTCAATATTTACTCAGATCTCTGGTTGCATTTCAAGTCAATTTCAAGGTTCCTCAAAGATGAAGATACATAAGACAACAAAACCATTGTTTCCAGGCTTCATTGGAGCCTGGCATAAAAATCAACCAGAATGGACTGACTGCCAATTGGAAATGTTTGGGTGTGGCAGACACCCTCCAGCACTGCCATATCTTTTTGTAGTAAAACACAAAGCTAGATTTTTGCACTACGCATGTCTTCTGAATGTCATGACCCAGAAGTATATGTATAGTTAAAAAAGAATTGTCTTGAATCTTCAAACTAGTTACGAAGTTCAGAGGTACTGTTAGACCGTGTGGAGAAAAGAAAAGACGTTACCTCCAACTTAGCTTCTCTCTCTCTAATGGAGATTTCAGTCTTTAACCTAGTGGATAATGAATTAAGATTCAATGTTTTCAAATACTGTATGGTTAAAATAGAGATAAGGATGAAGGTATTTACAGTAAGAAAGCAACTTGGTAATCTTAAATCGATTTTTCAAGTTGATTCTTATTTTGAGCTTAAATGTACTTTGGAGTTCCACAAAAGCATTTCCAAATTTTAAAATGTTTAATATAGTATACAGAAATTATAAGATCAACTTGTCTCACGTAACCTGTTCCAGTTCTCTCACCTCATGAAAAACAGGAAGCAACAGTCTTAAGATGGTTAGTAATACTTCTATTCCAGTGCTTATTGCAATTCTACATGAGGAATAATTTCCTTACCATAAAGGCCTTTTAAACCATGACTGAAGTACTTAAGATCTGAAATGCTAAATTAAGTGCATAAAGCTACATTACAACACAACAAAAACATTCTGCAAAACAAGCTCACTTTTCTTTTAATTGTCTACCATAACCCAAATACCCAGAACACAGCTGTAGTTTACTTTAAGGCAACTGTAAAACATTGCAGCTGACCTCCAACTACTATTTGGAGGAGATAATTCCCTCAAAATACCTTCACAGGCACAGTCCATACATTAGATGAGCTATAAATTATTTAAATTTATTGACTTTAAAAACCACATTAATTAAACAGCTTATCACAACATCACTAAAATTGATTTTCTGTGTTTATATAAGAAAATGCTATCGCAGAGATAGGAAGAAGAATGTCTCCTACAAAACCTTGTTAAGTCATCAGTTCTAATATAAAAATCTGACCTTTCAAAGGTTTTCTATAAAAAAGAAAAGCTGAACAAAACACTCAAAATTGCTTATGCCTGTATCTTCTTTGTTGACACTGCATTAAAGGCAAATTTAATCTGCTGAAGTATGGTGCTGCCTCTGTTATATTTGATGTTATTAATCATAAATTAAATGATTCATGATCTCAGCAAGTCTTAATGGCTGTCTACAAGGTATAAAATATTTGACAGAAGAAACAGCTTTACCATCTTCTATGAAAAATGTGTACTAATATTAGATTGATATCTACCACATGTATTTTCCTAATTTAATCCAAGAAACCAGTGCTAAAACCAGACCTTTTAAAGATTTTTAGCACACACTTTCAGCACGTCATAAACCTTCTAACACTAATGTTCTAACAGGTAACTAATAAACTTGGACTGTAGTATAAACAACCGTTTATAACTATTTTAATTGTACATCTTAATTTGCAATAAAAGATGGCAAAACCACGACCAACAAAAAGGACTGTTTTAAATAACATTGCTATGATAGCACTGTAAAAATTCTCATCTAATTAATGGTAAGAAAAATGATCAGGATAAACCATGTTTTTGGGGTCCGGGACTTGAAACACTCTCAAGTACTTAATCACATGTAGCAACACCAGTAAAAGATGATGCAACATCAAATATTTAGCTTAGCTTCACTGCTTTAATGATTTCTATGCAAGAACTTCAACAAACACGTTGGAAATATTACTTAGTCTAAAACCAGTCACTCTTGAAAGAGTAGAACAATTTAGACACAAATAAATCAGATATTGTATGTCCAAAGACCAAACATACTGTTGTTCTTGACTGAATAAATGTAAGTTTTGACACCAAAATAAATTGGATCCAATACCTGTAAATTGTTTTAAATACATTAACATTATTTTATACAACCAAATTCTGGTAGATTTCTGTGGTCATGTTTTATAGCTTATAAAGTAGATTCAAACTGGCTAATTCATGCTATTTCAGAAGTGAACAGAGTTTATAATATTTTCAGGTAACCACAGCTTTGTTAATACGGTTTACTTTGGATGCCTGACACATTCTTAACCTTAATTCCGTTTAGGAAGAGGTTTTAGAAAGTAGTTCCCTTCTAATTTATAATTAGCATAAGTTTCATAAATGGATACTAAACCATAGAAAACTATCACCTTGTGATGTTCCCAACGCTTTATGATATAAGAAATCTTAAATCCTATAGTTCTCAAACAGCAAAGGCAATGTACTTCCTTAAATCTGTGGAGCTACAGCGCTTCTGGAAAGAACGATATGAAAAATAAAACAAAGATCGTGACCATTTCTGGTAAGTACAGCCTACTGGTCCAGAATTTCGAGCAATTTTGAAACCTCTCTAGAACTCTCTGAAGATTCTTTGTACTGCATCAAAAAAAACTTCTGTTTAAGAACAATGAAAAGATGCCCCTTAATTGTCAATGCCTTAAAAAAAAAAAAGCCTCCAAAATGTAGCAGTTGAGCACAAAATTTCAGCTTGACTGAGATACTCAGTAGAATGGATTTGCCATAAAACCAGAGAGACTCAAAATAAAAGCCAGGGAAACAACAACATTAATTTAGACACTTTAAAGTCTAAATTCAGGTTGATCTGAAACTTTATTTGATAAATGAAGAGTCACCTAGGACTAATGGAAGAGATTTGGAGTCAGGGAAACAAGTAGACTAAAATGCACAGTTCAAGCATGGGAATATTCTCATTTCTGAAATTCATACAGTCTCATTGCTTCCCCTGTTCTCACATAATAAAATCATGTGTATTTGCACACACAGAGAAGTCAAATCATGAGCAACTGTATTCCCAGCGATCTTTCATATTTTCTCACAACCAAAGAGTTACTTCACGGCTTCTTTAGGTAAGCTGTACTGAAACTCAGTTGGAATACTTTTGCCAAACATCCCTCTTTTGTCCACCCCTAACCAAAAGTAACCTTTTCTAGAGTGACTGCAGCTTCCAGAATTTCTAGAAAACAACTTCATGTTATTTAAGTGGCTCAAGGTCCCTTCCAGCCACTCAGTTGAACCACGCCCAGTATTACAAATGTAAACCTATTTTACAACTAGTTTGACAACTGAATGGGAAAGATGGTGACATTCATGTTCCTTGACACTCTCCAGTTTCTCACCTATGAAACAGGGTTAGCAATGAAGACAGTTACATCATAACTTACTATTATTATAATGAGTAGGGAAGTTTTGTTACACACAAAGCTGCACAGTTACAAACATTTAACAGAATAACAGAAATAAATATTTGTTTTATTTGCTTTCTTGCCAGAAAGACTTTCAAAACAAAGGTAATGTAGAATTTGCTAATCAAGCAAGGTTGCCCTGCAACTACATGCCTTTTAAGAGCCCATAATGCAATGACACTCGACATCCTAAAAATAAAAGAGACAGGTTAAGGTACATACAAATGAAATCTTAACACTTTGAGCATCAGCTAAACTTATGCCATGCATATTCATGCTCTGTCCTCGAGACATGGTTCAGTATGCTGCATTATTCACGTAACTTCGTAGCTGTTGGGACCATCAGGGATATTTATCATCGAGTCAGGCAGCTTTACGTGCATGGTTTAATACTGGTTTTATGTTATGAGTTTTCCACCTGAGTAACTTTCCCGAGATCCTCATACAAAAGGAAAGAGGATGCCACAATGCCAATTGTTTCTACAGGAGCTATTTACATGAAGCTGGCAAATTTGAATATAGCTTATAAGTGTTTTAGCTGCAAATCTGAAACTCAAAATTTCTGTAGCAAAGCTGTAAAAGAACCAAATTACAGTATTCCAAATCAGCACTCAAAAGAGGTATAATTCACATAACTTCAAATCAAAGTGTGAACCTAGTGTAATTCCTGAGAAACTCTAAGAGAACACTTCTGAAAGTCACAAAAATCTGCAATCATATTCCAGTTTTGTTACCAGAAACCTAAATGAAAGTGAAACATCACAGATTCAACTTCCTCTGAAATGCAACAGCATGTTCACAATGAAAACACAAACCCACTATGCTTTTTTGAACGCTGCTGTGTCAAATTAGAAGTAAGCCCTGCAAGAAAAACCTGTAGTATGTAACTGATACTTGAAGTTGAACAGCAACATCCAAGATGGAACATAGCTTCTGTCAGAAGGAAAAAAAGTAGCAAAAAGAACGATGGGACTTGAGAGTACTGAGTAAGCGTGCAGATGCTCAATCACAAAATATGCTTAAGAGACAACGGATGACAGGATCCTTCCTATTACTAGCAATGCCGCAGTGGTTGCAGAAGCTCACTATCACCAAAACTGTTACTATTTCAATACTAAAAGTGAAAAGGACAAAAACACCAGTAAAAATGGATTAATCTCAGAGAATTTGATTATGGAGAAAAAGAAAGTGCTGCAAATTAATAACAGCTTGCACTCATCAGGAATAATCTCTTATAACTAGGAGGTTATAACAGTGACTGATCTCCGAGTAAGATTAACTCTGTTAGGTTGCTTGGTTGAATCTCTTGCTTACTAGCTTCCAAGACACACATCCACTGTAAACAGGAGGTTGAGTTTGGAGGAACACTAGATGTTCATCATGACAAAAGGAAAGCTCATCATATATCCAGACAACCTGCTGATGGATAAACTTGCCATAGATAATCTAGATCTAAAGATGAAGTCAAAAGCAGTGAAATCAAAAGCAGCAGATGTCTCAGCAGCTTGAGCAGAGCATCCTTGAAGATGAGAGATGATACCAAAAGAACAAGGTGTCAATGAACTGTGGCTGCTCCACCTTCAGAATTAAGACTCAATAAATGTATCTGCTTCCATCACATGCTTTCCTCCTACAGTATTTAGAAGCAAAAGAAGCTTAGCTACCAGAGCAAAGCAGCTAATAAATTCCTTTGGCCAAGATTCAGTTCATGCAGTTACACGCGACAAAGTCACTCAAAGCATAATTTGCCAGTATATACTGTAAAGTCTTAGGCAGACAAAAATGCAACTTACTTAATATTAAATAGATCGGGACTTTTATGCTTTAGTGTACACCCAAAGAGAGTGACAAAGCCCTTTAGTTTCAGAAGCTAGGTCAAGTTCAGAACAAAACGGGCTTTGATGTCAACACATATATCATAATTTATATACTACTCTAGCTTGGGAAGATATCGACAGTCTTGAGCAGCAAAGAAACACTGCAAATGAGCAGTAAAGAAACCCTGCATCACGTAAATGAAACTTCATCACGTAAGCCTCTCTTCAAAGGAGTATAGCCCCCAAAAAGCTGTAAGTCAATGCTGCAAAGCAGAGAACATTACCATAGGAGGGCAGGGCCTTTGCCAGACTACCATGTTGAGAGAAAAGACCAGACCTGCTGCCTAAAAGATGCGAGAATACCACAGCTTCAATGTATGAAGAAAAAAGAAAAGGTCTGGTCAGATCCTTGTTCGCTTACATACCAAAATAATCCCAAGCTGGACTGGGTTCAATTTTCTGGTCCACAATGATGTATCAGTGAGCCAAGGCAGTATAGGATACCTGCTCACTTTCAACTCCCCTGCAACAAAAATGTCTGCTGTCAGTTCATTTAAAAATATGTTAATTGTTGCGCAAAGCAGAGAGTTGAGCATTAGAAGAGTACTGGCATAATTATTAAGCCTTATTCTCTCAGCACAAGGTGGATCCCTAAACAAGGCAACTTCA